CCTCTTGTCAAGTATCCCCTGACCTCACCTCTGTGTCTGGGAGCTCTCTGAAGCTCATATTTTCCAGGATAACAGGTCAGATTTCAAATTTCAGCTTCAAAAATGATTTGCTGCTGGCTGGTATAAGCTGGAGGATAACTCCAACTGTGTCCTACTAATCCACATGTAAAGCAGGGGTTGCCTTTGTCAAAGGTTGTTTCAAAGCTACCTGTGTACAGACAATTTGTGCCTTAATCCTTTCCTAGTCTTGAGGACAACTGTTCAAAGCAAATGTCTCCAAGTTCTCTTACCAGAAGTCTAGTTTGGGTTACTAATCTGCCCCACAGAATGGCGTTGCCATGTCCCTACAATACCTTCATGGTGGGTAGAGGTCTCAAAATTAAATAATAATTGTGTAACTAAGAGAAAAGAAAGGTTGGCCATACAGGCTGTCTGATGACATATAAAATCATCCCCAAACACACCCAGAACCAAGGAGTAAGGGGACCTCCACTGCCCTCAGACCCCTTACGAGTTTGGAGTTTTTCCAGATTGCTGCTGTGGTGAGCCTGTCTGCTATGAGGACCTTCTCCGTAGGTACCATGGCTGGGAACAGGCCTCTGGACTTTTTGCCATTACCTTGGAGTGCTCCTCCAGACTTCTGACCCTGTGAACAAGAACTGGGTGTTCAGGTCATGGGAGAAAAAAGAAAACACGAGTAAGACATCTCAGCTGATAAATGACTCTGTAAGGGAAGAAGGAACGTGATCTCTCGTGTGGGGTAAAACATACCTTTAAGGTAGAAAATGGGCTTAATGACATCATCATTCCTTATTCTTAGTGCTTCAGTGACTAAAGAAACCTGAGTTTGATGAGGCAGCATCTTTAATGTGGCCAACAGATTGTGAAAAAAAAAATAGAAGTTTTTAGGCAGGGGCTGAAGTCTGTGGTTGTACCAGGACTGCTACGGCTTTGTGCAGTCGAATCAGATGACGTTGCAACAACAGATGGCCCCCAAAGCTTCTTGCATGTTTTTTCTCCACTAGAAAATTCTTCTCAAGAAAGAGTTTATCTCTCAAGACCTTTGGAGGCACCCAGAACAAAGAAGAAGAAGAGTTGTTGATGCCCCATTCCTGGAAGCATTCAAGTCCAGGTTGGATGAGGCTTGAAGCAACCTGGTCTAAGTGGAAGGTGTCCCTGCCCATGGCAGGGGGTGGAACAAAATGATCTTTAAGGCCCCTTCCAACCTAAACCATTCTATGATTCTATGATTTTATAAGGTGCCATAACCAGAAGCGAAGAAAAAAAGAAAAAAAATTTTCTCCAAATGCATGAGGTAAGGGGTAGGAAACGTCTGCTTTGCCTCCAGCTTCTGCTATTTCTTTCTCTTTTCCCTTTTTAATATATTACCATCGAGAAGAGACGCCCCAGCTGCGTTTCTTTTTGGTTCAGCAGCTTGGATGTTGTACTCCAAAATTTACACAGGGATGACAAAGCTGGGAAGTGTTTCCTGCTGGTGTCTGCAGTGATGGATGGGACTGGGAGCGCTACTCTGGTGAGGCCAAGGGCAGGAGGAAGGGTTGCAGCAGTATTTCAAGGCAATAAGTCACTCTGTGCATTCCCAGTCCTCACTGGAAGGACCATGTCATTGCCTCAGGGTGCTCCTGTGAGCACCTCTGTAGTCACCACATGTGACAGGGATGACCACATCCGTAAGAAACTGAAAGAAACAGGAAAGGTAAAGAAATAGAAATTAAACAGTACCCATTACTGTGTTCAGAAGTACACGTCACCTTCTTGTGAGGCAACTGCTGGCCCAGCTGGCTGCAGCCTCCCTCCTGCCATATGTCCTCCAGATCTCTCTGCTGCTACAGGTCCCAGAGGCTGGGCTGATGTAATATATGCTTTCTGTGGAAAACCACGGAAAACAGACCCTGTGGACCAAGCTTGAACTCCCAATAGATAGTGAGGAGAAATTTTGAGGGGCAAGACCCTGGTAGAGCATTGTTTGCCCATGGGCTTAGCTATGGACAACCAAGAAGCCATGTTAAAGGTAGATAGAAAAAATTAATTGTTTGTCTAATTAAAGGCTTCTCATCCTGGTCAGACCATAACAACTTATTTAATTTCATTGTTATATAGGTTCCTAGAATCTAAATGATCAAATTATTGATGGGAATTAGCAAAAACTAAAACTCTTAAATGCAAGTCTCCCAGAGCTGCACTATGCTTTGGTGATGCTCCCTCGTCCCATGAACCATTATGGGAGGCCATCAGCTTCCTAAATCCTTTCCCTGGAGAAGGAGGATGATGACGACAGTGTGTGCTGGGGGCAGGGGGAGAATGGTCTTCCTTCATTGTCTCGAGTTTGCTCAGAATTAATTCTGTGTGTCACCTCCATATTTCTGTATTTCTTAATAGGTTACAGTCTTTCCTCTGCTGCTTGTCCATAAGCTCATGTACACCACGATTCTTTCTCCTTATACAATATTACTTCTTTTAAGGGGAAAAGCCATGCAATTAGACAAAATAATGCAAAGTGTAAACTGAAACACACTTGGGAATAAGAGCTAAAGCAAACCCCAAACCACAGGAGAGCAAGAGCCATTTGAACACTCAGTTATTTGGCTGTCACAGCTATGAGAGGCAAGGCAATGGACCTCTGCTCTTGGGATAATCGTAGGCACAAGAAAGGCTCTTAAATACATAGTTCAAAATCATTCCAGATGATCTGGGTATGCGTTTTAGGAGTCTTACCACACTGGTAAAGTGGCCTCAGTGATCTCCTTCCCCAGCCATCACCTTCCCATGAAGGGCTGTGAATCAGCGTTGCCTCAAACGAGGAGCATTTAGTCAGAGGAAAACAGAGAAATGTGGCCCAAATTGTGTTGTTGTTACATAACCCCCCCCGCTGAACATCTGGAGAACATCTGAAGTTTAACAAAGCAGGCCCGCAGGCAGAGGCATTTTTGACCTTCCCTGTAATGGAAGCACAAAAAATGAGACTGAAAAGAAGGGAGTGAATATAATCAGAAATGGAAGACAAAATTACTGGGGCCGACCTTGGCCCAAATACCCGACAAGGGCTCCTGCAGTCCTGCCTGAAGAGTGCACAGGAGTGGGGAGAGACAAGACAACAGTCCTAAACACAAGGTGCTGGGCACTGCTGAAAGATTTCTGCAGGTCCCTGTCTTCTGGGAAAGCCAAGTATCCTCTCTGTTTCTCCGCTTGCCACCCGGCTCTGGTTAAAATTGTTTCTTCTGGGCAAACTGGAATTTGAAGTGAACATTTGGGTTTTTTTCTCATGGGGAAAACTGACAAAGACTCCAGAACTGAGGCTTGGAAAGAGACACTTTTTGCTTGTTTGGGATTTTCTTTTCCTTTCTGCAGGGGTAAAATGCTAGGGCACGGTTAGGGGGTAGGGGGGGGAAATGAACGGAAGCAGGAAAGATCCCTCCTGCCACCTACCTTTTCTAGCAAAGAGCTGTAAATCAGCCCACAGACAGAGAGATCTTTCCCCAGGTGCCTTTTACATCCCTGTGTTGGATGTGGCCCAGTTGGGAACAGGTAGAAGCCCCCTTTTCCCATCCCTTCTTGCTGGCAGCAGCACATCCTGCTGGCTGAGCAGCCCTTGCCATGAGTGTGTAGCCCAGGGGCTTGTCCCTATCACAGTCCTTGACTCATTGCAAGGACTGTGGCAAGCCATTAATAGGCATTTCCTGAGCTGTAACAATAAGTGCCTTTCTTAGGGCAGATGTGAAGGCATTTTTTCCTACCTTTCCATGGAGAGGAGAGCGGGATATCTGATACAGGCACCAGCCACACGCAGAGCCTCCCTAGGGATGTTCCTCAGACTTTCCAGCTGTGAGTGAGGTGTCCCCAACGCTGCAGGGAGCCCAACAAGCATCTCAGCTGAGACATCCAGGAGACAGCATGACTAAGAGAAGGACATGAGACAAGGCAGGAGCAAGGCAGTGCCTCCCTGTTACAGAAACAGGACACCATTTTCCTGTTGAATGTCCCCACTGTCTGGGCAACAAGTGACTTCGTGTGAATCCCCAGTGAAAGGCTCCGGCAAGCCCCTGGCACATACAGGTGTGGTCTGGGAGCTTCCCCAAAGACCTTTCAGAGCTGTCTTAGGATGTGAAACCAACATTTGGGGAGCACTGAGCTTGGCAAAGCTGGATGAGATGTCTGATACTGTGAAGAAAGATATGCAGGTATCCCCAGAAAGGCCAAGGAAGTGGAAAGAATTCAAAAGCTTGTTTAGAACGCGAGAAACACATACCTGACAGTGCTATTTAAGCACCAGGCCCCAGGGAGAAAAAGGCACGTTCCTGCCCTCTCTGGGGCCTTTAGTATCCTCTCTGTTTCTCCGCTGCCTTCCCAAGGCCTCTGTTCATGTCTGTTAGGGTTATCTGTCTCCAGAGGGAGAGATAACACAGCTCTCTCTACAACCCCCTCTGGACTGCAGAAGGGGCAAAAAAAAATAATCCAACCCTCTTGAGAAGGCACTTTGCAGGCTTCCTAAGAGAAAATGATCTTTTAGCTTTCCCATTACAAATTCTTCCGAAAGCACAACTATTCCTAAAGATACCTCCAGCACTAGCCCTGTTTCCAGAGCAGCATCCTTACCTGCCCGGGGAAATGAGGTATTAAGGAGAGACGCTGCAAATAAGAAAAAAGCAAATGCAGCTGTGTAGGTTTGGGGTTTTTTCGCAACCAGAAGGCAAACAGAAGCTGGGCAAGCATTTCCCATTCTCTGAGAGCTCAGTGCTCTTCTCATAAATTTTTATGCACTATTTAATAGGGGAAGAGGATTCACAGTATATTTCAAACCCGTGGTATTCAATAACAGCCAGACATGATGCAAAACCAATCGATCTCTTTGCTTCTACCCCTCAATTTTATGTGAGAAAGTTTGCTGGAGTCCTGCCAGATCCCAGCAACCTCTATTTTACCAAGTGATTTTTTTGAACATTTGGAGCCCTTGAAATTCAAGTCAGACAAACTTCCAATGAGACTGTGGAAAACAATTTATTTGACAAATTTCCCAAGTGGACAATTTTAGTAAAACACAGGTATAAAATAAAACTAACTTGTACAATGGGGGTTTGGATACAAAGTGAAGAGTTTGGGGTGCTGATACCTGGCAATCACTGTTGATTTCTTGGAAGTGCATGAATTCATAGCAAGAGCACCAATGGAAGCACTGAAACAAAATCTCACCCAGCCAAACCACATCTTAAGTGTGGTCCTAGAAACAACTGTGTAAACACCAAGGGTCCACATCACCCACATAAGTGATAGCACCTTTGTCAGTATATCTGTAGGGTGTGAGTCAAAGACCCTGGGAGATGATGGCAGCCTTTCCCTTAACTTTGCTGGGCTGAGGATGAGGCCTTAATTCAATATATAGTACAGTTAGTGGGTTTCCCTAAGGCCCAGGTGCCTAACTCCTAGGTGGTCCTATAGAAACAGTACTCTCTGAATGCTCACTGGGAGTCAGTCAGCTTGGATCTTTTTGGGGAAAAAAAAAAATTTAAAAAAAATCCCACTAACTGGGCTCAGAGAGATTTTCCAGAATGGAACTTGAAGCATTACAGAAGTCATCAGGTTATTCATGAGGTTCCTGGTTTCACTGTAGAACCATGAGATCAGTTCTGTGCAGTTATGTTGCTTCTTTTGGGGTTTCCCCCTCCCCAATGGCTGCTGCCCATCTTTCCTTTGGTCGGTGCCCAGGCTCCCTGCCCTGAATAGGAGTGTCAGTGCCAAGGAATGCTCCACCACCCACCTCTACTCCAGCCCTGGGAAGTCAGTGTCCCGTCCCATGGCACTGGAGGCCAGAGATGCTTCCACACAGCTTGGGTAATGCAGTCCAGCCCTCCCTCCACCTCAGGCATGGGAGATACGAACCAAACTTGCCAGCTGTGACAATGATCCCCTCTCAAAGCTTGCTAAGTGTGAATAATTCACTTGAAGCGCAGCATTAGGTTAGGATCATTGTGAGATGGGCAATGGCTCAACTGATGTATGAAACAGAGAAGGAAATTAAAACGATTAAAAAAAAAAGTATATGAAAAGAGCATAATAAGCCTCAAGAGACCAAGCTAGTTCTCAGTGGTACAAATTCCTCATCTTGGTTCTTTCTTGACACAGTGGGATGAGGTTGGTATTTGTTTTCTGATGGCTTATTGCTAGGTGTACTTCTGGGGAGGGAGGGCAGTCATGGGCAGTGAGGGAAGTTTGAGGCTAACAGAGAAGAGACACAGGTGATGAAGCAGGGGGAGAAGGAAGGGGACTATGTAGAGCCAGGCTGTGGCATTATGGTTATCTGCATAGATGCAAATTCTTCCCATTGGTCAAAAACACTGTTAAATTCTTTTTGTATTGTTTTGGTTTGGTTTTTTTTGGTTTTCCTGTTTTAGGCAAGACAGAAGACGCTATGGCCTTGGCAGAAACCCACCCATATGCTCAGTCAACAGCTATCTTCCTGGAGACAGTTTGGTAGAAGACGCCACGCAGCAGAGAGGTATAGTCGGGCACACGGAAGAGGTGGCGCTCCCCATAGACCACGTCGTAATCTGCGCTCTTCCCCGTGACCAGGACACGGATGTTGGGCTCGTTGGCTTGGCTGCCCACTGCCAGCACATAGATCTCAATGCCAGCCCGCTGGGCTTCCTGCACAGCTCTCTCAATGGCACTCGCAGTGATCCCTTGGGAGTGTCCGTCAGAAAACACCAGCACCCTCTTCTTGGCCCCGGCACGGGCGGACCGCTGGTACATCAGCGTGATGTACTGCAGAGCAGCATTGACGTCTGTGGCGTCATTCATGAACTCCATGTTGTCAATGGCTTTGGCAATGACCGTGTAGTTGTGTTGGAACTGAGCTTCCACTCTCTGCTGGTTGCTGCTGCTGTACTGCACCACTGAGACGCGCACGGAGTCATCGGCGGGCTTGCCAGCCTCCAGGAACCGCTCCGCCAGCCGCTTCACGAACTTCTTGGTGGTCTCAAAGTTCTTGCTTCCCACGCTGGTGGAGCTGTCCACCAGCAGTGTGATGTCCGCTGGACTGGTGAAGGTGACTGCAAGGGGAAATGTCCAAGGCTTGTTACGCTGTGCTTCTCCTCCTGCCTCTTCCACGGAAAGCCGATGAAGTCACTGGCTGTCTCATAGGCTTCCTGCCTTGTCAGACTCGGGAAATCCCTACCCTTGCTAGCTTTGTTTCCCCTACCCCAGTGCTGTCCTACACTTGTCCTTTTACCCTTTCATTCCTTCTTTTATTTGGTTTAGGACAGGCTGCATTCCCCGGTGTTTGTTTGGCTTAGATAATCTAGTGACTCTTGTTTAAATGCAGTGGCTCTCCTTGCATGTCTGGGGAACCACTTCATCTCCTTCGCCTCACTTCTTTCCATGGAAAGTCTGAGGACTGTAAACGCTTCTGATTTGGAGGTGTACTCCATTAAAATCCTCCCTGTACTCACTTTTCAAGCAGCTTTCTCCAATATCCCTGCCATGATTTTTCCTCATTCTCCCAACTGACCTCATTACCTGCATCCACTAAACCCTGGGAGGGTTACAATCCGTCGCAGCCTCCTCTCTAGGTTTGAGGTGTCAGAGAAGCAATCATCTAGGCTTTCCCCCAGGTGCTTTGGGCTGGCATGCGCGTGAGAGACCCTGAGAGTGTCTGACAGATTTTGCTCACTTCCACACCAGGAGCCTCCTCATTGCAAGAGGTGTCCAAGCCATGCATCCCCATAAACTCCTACTTCCCCCACCACAGCACCCACAACCTTTCAGTGTGGCATGAGGAGTCAATACTCACTTGGGCAGGTGTAGTCAGGACATTTCTTCTCTGTTAAGAAAATTAGAGAGATTAGTGTCACCAACTCATCCATGAAAACCACTTGTTTGAACCAGCCACAGGAGGGACAGACACTCACCTTGGTCACTTGTGCAAGACCCTGAGCAAAGGCTATAAATGTGCTTAAAAAATGCTGTGGACAGAGAAGTCCTGCAGCAGGTGAGGACGTGGACCTGACTGCAAAGTGTTCTGAGACACAAGATATCCCTGTCCCTTCTTTAACTAAATTTGATCTCTGTTTTCTTCCCTCAACACCTGCTCAAGAGCATGACGGGGGGAATGCAAGGGAGGGCATCCTGCATCCCTCACCCCTTGGCTGAGGTAAGCCTCACTGCCTTCCTCATTGCCTCCAGCCACCACCTTTCACCCACCTTGGCAGACGTATGAGGTGATGTTCTGCAGGAAGGTGTCATCCAGGAGCTCAGCATAATTGTCCCTTTGAATGGACAGTCCTGGCCTGGTTGGTCTGCTTAAACAAGCAATGTCATTCAGGTGATCTGGATTTGGAGGGTTCCGGAAGATGTCACCTATTCCAAGGGAAACCACCTGCAGGGAAAGTTAGAGTCCATCACTGGATGCACTCATCATCTGATGCATTTGCAACTGCATATGCCTGTCACTTTGTGAGAGTGCTTATAGCGACAGCTGTGCCCCCCACCCTATCCTGGGGTAGCCAAGACAGGGAGATGCCTGGAGAGCCTTTGCTATGATGCACAGCTGCTGTGTGGCAGGTCCCCTGTGCCCTTACCGGGGTGACATCGCACAGGGAGTTGAGTGGGGTGGGGTCCCGCAGTGTGTCGGAGCGTCCGTCGGTGATGACGATGGCGACGCGCTTGTCAGAGGTGAACCTCCGCAGCAGGTTGTCCTTGGTGAACTGCAGGGCTTCTCCAGTGTAGGTCCCCCCAGCTATCCAGTTCAGGTTCTTGACCGCCCTGTAAGGACAGACACAAGTAAGCCTGCAAGCCGTGGGTACTGAAGGGGACAGAACACAATATCTCTGACAAGCTTGCCACCAAGGTAACACCCTGCATGGAGATTCGGGTGGAAAACTGGCAAGCTCCTTGGCCTCAGGAGCTCCTACGATGCCATCAACCACTACCTTCCACTAAAGAAGATTTAGTACCATTGCAGTTGCAGGAGCTGCTGGCCTGCAGGTGGGGGATGGGAGGTGAGTAGGTGTCCCTGGATCAGATCCCTGTGTGATGTGCCAAGACCCCACAGACTCACTGTTTGAGCGCCCCGATGTTGTCTATGTTGGCATCCCCCATGGCCACCAGCTCCTGCGTGTTGTCATGGCTGTACTGCACAACGCCCACACGGGACTCCCCGGGTTCAAACTGTTGGACAAAACAGAAGCCAGTAAGGGTCTGATACCTCAGGGGATCCCTGAGGCTCAGAATCCTGCTAATTGTCCTAAATGCCTTCGTGCCAGGCTCTGATGCTTCTCCTCTGCTTTATTCCAGGAAGACAGAACCCCAACAGGAGTGGATGCACATGGGGACCAATTTGGTGAGACAGTCAGTGAAACAAGGCCCAAATTTAGGTTTCTTGGCTCAGTGGTCTCAAAATAAGCCATTGGACTCTCAGGCACACGGCAAGATTCTTGGGGTTGTCCTATGTGCAGTTAGGAGTTGGACTTGACGATCCTTGTGGGTCTCTTCCAACTCAGGAGATTCTATGGTTGAAGGTCTGTTTTCAAAACTTCTGTTTTTCTTCCAACCTAGTGGTTTTACTGCCCAGCTCCAGCCTTTCTGCTTTTTGCCATTCAGAAATCCCATGTACGCCCACACAAGTGTTCAGCAGCAAGTCATGGTGTCTTTACAACTGTGTGGTTTAGATGTGGCTGGTTATACCTTAGGGAAACTCTGAATCCCAAATACCCCTTCAAAATCACTGAGGTAAATGAAATTTCCATACACAGCAGGTTACCAGAGAAGAGTTAGGAGAGCAAGCAATTGTGTGTCCCTTTTCAGACTGAAAGACTCACTACAGGGGATGACATTGTTGGTTTTGGACTGCAAAGGTAATTTTTAAGTAATGTGCTTAACTGGTAACCTAAACCCAAGTGTGGGGGGCAAACAAGGGTTCCTAGGGGGCTAGACATCAGAGATTTCCAACACACCTCTACTCCAGATACCTGGAATGCTCATTGGGACAGGGAAGAGACTGAGACACTGATTGATCAGAGACTAATCAAGCTGATTGAATGCTTGATGAGCCATCTGCTCTGGGACATAGACAAATTGTTCCCAGCCACAGCAGGCAGAGTCCCTTTGCCCAGGAAGAGTGAGATGTCTATATTTTGGGACAACAAACTGCTGTCCAATCTCCATCACGTTATGAATTTGGGAGGAATCAAGACCCACCCCCAGCTTGAAGCCAAGCCTCATGGAGGCTTTCTGGAGTGGAGGCATCTCCCCATTTTCCTGCTTGCAGCATAAAAATGTGGGTGCACACAAGCGTATTGCAGCACTTGGCGCAAATCTCACCTTGACCCGCTCGTCCTTGCTCAGGCGGTCGATGACTTTGATGATGAAGTCCTTGGCAATCTGGAAGTTCTGCAGGCCAATGCTCTCCGAGCTGTCCAACACAAAGAGGAGGTCGACGGGACCACAGGTGCACTCTGCAGCAAGGCACAGGAGTGGAGGGACATGTTTTGAAGGGAGGCACCCCCAAAGGAATCAGCCTGCCCATGCCCTACCCACCCGCAAAGCCCGGGGTAAAATAATGCAGCAAAATAGCTGCATAGCAGACTTGGGAGGCAGTTTATGAATTTTTCTATTTGCATTTGCTCCCTTATAATACATATGGCATTTCCAGGCTGTGAGTACCCTTAAACCACCCAGTAATTATTCCACAACCCATTTCCTCATAAGCCTTCTCACTTCTTCCATTCACCCAGCCCAGGAGGACAGAGGTGACACGGGTGGGCTGGAGGAGGCTGACTCAGCTTGCTCCCCTACTTCCCATAGCTGCAGGACATCATGTGCCCTTAGCTTTTCCTTCAAGCTTTTGGACTGTAAACTCAACTTATTGGGACAGCAGCAGGGAAAAAAAACCAGCGCATTCCTCTGCTGACCAGCACAGGATTTGGAAGGAAGAGGGCAGAGGTGGATCCACAGTATGCTCTGAGCAGACATCCCAACTGCAAAAAGGGTGGAGAAAATCCACCCTGCTGGCACAGGGCACCTTGACAACAGTTTTCCAGTTGTACAACTCAGCCACATCAGCCTCTGAATCCATGTGGCACCCTCAGGGATTGCTTACTGCCCTCCCCTGCCTGGCTCATGCCTGGTCCTCCCTTGTGGGGTCCTCCCTTCCACAGCAGAGGGCAAGAAGCAGGGAAAGGGAGGGGTGCAAGCAAGGAGAGGGACTAGCAAATGTTTGCAGAGCGACTTTGCCAAGTAACACTCACCACAGCAAGCTAGAGGAGAAGGGAGAGAAAAAGAGAACGTTAAAATGCTCGACAAAGGGGTTTTTCACACCTTAATCCAGACTGCAGGTTTGTGCTTCTGCAAACCCAGAGCCAACCGGCCCAGCCCAATCCAAGCTCCTGGAGGTTTCCCTCCCATTTGAAACACCCAGATATCCTGCCTGCTTCAGGCTGGGATGCCCTGCCCTGGAGCACCGCACGCAGCAGAGCTGTTTCTGCACGTGCTCGTGTGTTATTTAAATAAAAATAAAAGCTAATCCTGAAAGGATTGAGTAAGTCACCAGAGCACAGAGCTCAAACTCGGTTCCCCAAGTACCCTGTGTCCTTCCAGCATTTCATTACTGGCCATTGGCCAGAAACCCTCTGCAGCACATGTGTGCTGCTTCCCTCCATGGCAGGACACCCCAAAAGAGACCTCCCTTTCCCAGGGGGGAAAATTAGACCCTGATATATTAAAAACAAACAAACAAACAAAAAAACAAGGTAAAATGGGCCACTCAAGGATTTTACACAACTTTGCTCATATTTTCCTTGTACAGAGCCAGTCTACAGCATGTACAAGTGAGACACAGCTGTATGAGCTACTCCAGAGGTGGAGCTGGAGATCCCTGGGTCAAGGGGACTTAATCGTGCCTCATGGAAGGGGAGCGGTGCCCAGGGAAGGCACTCCCCTGCCTGGGGATGGTCCATCTTGCTGCAGGGGCCAGTGAAATATCAGCTGCCACTGATATTTCCCACTTAGCAAGGCACCAAGCAGGGTGGGAGGAGAGGTACAGGGATACTCACAGCACATCTTCATGATGATGTCCAAGATTTCACATTCCTGAAAACAGAGGAAAAGAAATGTTTGATTAATAACAAAGGCAGTTTCCTTTCTACCCACCACCCCTGCTGCTTCTCTGTGTGCCCAAAAAAAAGTCTTGATCTGGAAATGAGTGCTGTGCAAGTGGGGCCTGGCTAGTGATGGACTGGCATGAAGAAAACCTGGCCAGTGAGACTTGCTGGGACAGTAATGGGGGACAGCCACCACTGAGCCCAGGAGCAGGAGGCTCCCACAGCAGTGTCCCCCCTCCCAGGAGCCAGGGGGGAGCACAGACCAGGCCAGCAAGCAGCACCCCAGTCCTGTCCCACTCACATCTGGTCCCGGAGGCCCCACAGGTCCTGGTGGTCCCTGTCAAACAGAAGCATAGGAGACAGGAGTTACAAGAGCAGTCATGTCCTATCAGCGGCATAGTCTGCTGATACCTTGATAAGCAATGCAGAGCTGGGAAAAGCCTTTTGGCTTCCCAGTTGCTGGCCCCTGCACTGGGCTTGGATCAGGTACATCAGCTTGTTTGCATGATGCCCTGGTGCTGCACAGAGGCGGGGGAGGAGACCCACTTCCACGTGTGCCAGGCACACTGAGGTGGGAAGGCAGCAAGCACACACACAGTGTGTGTGTCATGGCTTGGTGTTGCCCCCAGAGCACCCAGGGGATGGATGGATGGATGGATGCTGTCAGTGCAAATCCTGCCAGGGTCCTTACTTACCGGGAGACCTTCAGGTCCCCTGTAGCCCTTCGCTCCTTTGATGCCCCTGGGGCCAGGGTTTGGGTTCTGGAATGAAAGCAAAAACAAGCACCTTCACCTCCAGTGCGTGATGAGCCCTGTTTCACCACAGAAATGTTATCTGAGGTTGTTGTACCCAAGCAAACCAGGACTTGGAAGGGTCAGGATGGACACTGGGAAAATCTCCCTCCATGGGACAGTGGTGCAGCACAGGTGCAACCATCAGTGCTACCTGGAAGCTTACAAAGTCTTGCAGAGGTGATGCCAACCTCAGCCTAACAAATCTGGAGGTTTGTCACCTCTAGGACGCAAAATGAACACCTGGAGAGAGCTCCCCTTGCCATCCCTCAGACACTGCTCAGCAGCAAAGTGTGAAGATTTACAAAGTCTGATGGGCTCTGACCCATCAGTGTAAGAGATCCAGCCCAAAGCTCCTGCACTGTGCTCACAGGGAAAGAGGACTCACCATTACACAGAATACTCACATCGTTGCCAGGATCTCCAGCTTCTCCTTCATCACCTTTAAGTCCAACATAGCCTTTTGTTCCCTGAAAAACAATACAGAGAAGACTCCTGCATGGATGGCTGTGGTTAGCGTGGTGAAGTTGGTGCAGGTATGTGGTGACCTTGTGAGAGCTGGCTTGGGAGGGGGTGGAGAGCAGTGTAAGGTGTCCCTAGCACCAAATTTCAGTGCTCTTGAAGGAGAGAGAGCTTCTTAGGCAGTTTTCCCTGCTATAGAATGATGGAATCATTTAGCGTGGACACTAAGATTGAGTCCAACCGTTAAACCAGCACTGCCAAGTCCATCACTAAGTCATGTCCCCATCAGAGCACTGTCCAGCTCCCCCTGGCTGGCACTCCCAACCCCAAAATCTGGCTCTAGGACTGCATCAGAGCATCCAGCCCAGGCTGCTGCCCTTGGGTGTCACTACTAAGGCAGGACACTTCCACCAGAAGCATCCACTGTAGGGAGAGGTGGGCAGAAGGAAAAGAGGGCCTTGGAGGAGCAAGCTGCTTCAGGAAGCCCATTCTACCATGCAGCTGATGGAGAGGCTCTAAGTGCCTAACCAAGGGTAAATTCTGGGTGTATGAGGAAGGAGCACACTTACATTAATGCCAGGGTCACCTCTGTCTCCTGGTTGCCCCTGGGGATGAAAAAAAGGAAGCACGTTAGGTTGGACAAGGACAAATAATAGTTTTACAGTTTCAAGGCAACACAAAAAAACTTACTGGGGCACCTATGAATCCAATTGTGCCATTCCCAGGAGGGCCATCCTCTCCCTGGAAAGGAAGAGAGACATAGGGGAGATAAAGAAAAGCAGACCCCTCAGAAAAGCAGACCCCTCAGATAGCATGGCAGCAGGATCCTGCTCTCCTCAAACAGGGTATCTCCACAGCAGTACCACTCACCCTTTCTCCCATCAGACCAGGTTCTCCAGGCAGCCCAGGTGCTCCAGGTGATCCCTTTGGGCCCTGGAGGGAGCACAAGAAGCAGTCATACATTGCACATAATTTCAGCTGGGAAGATGATGAGGTAACCAGCTGAGGTAACCAGCTACCAACATGAGCCCACATAGATTATACAAGAACAATGTAAAGATTTAGATTAGATGTTATGAAGAAGTTCTTTACTCAGAGAGTGGTGAGGCCCTGGCACAGGTTCCCCAGAGAAGCTGTGGCTGCCCCATCACTGGAATTGTTCAAGGTCAGGTTGGACAGGGCTTGGAGCAACTTGGGCTAGTGGAAAGTGTCCCTGCCCATCTCTGGAATGAGATGAACTTTAAGGTGCCTTCCAACCCAAACTGTTCTATGATTTCTACGAAAGCCATCATCTGGGCTTAGGATTCAGTTTGCTCCCTGCCCTGGGGATCAAACCTGCTGGGAGATTGAGGTGGCTGCCCCCAGAGGGCATCTTTCCCAGCGTCTGTGATGGGAAGCCACATGGCTTATGGTGTGGCCATACCCTCTCCAAGAAATGACCTATGGGAAGTGGGGGGAAAGCCAGTCATGGCCTTAAGGACCCGTGGGAAATGCCTCAATGTGTCTGCCAGGAACACTGCAGTTTGTACCTACAGTAGGTTTCCAGTATCCAAGGGATATGGGGAAAGCCCTCAGGGACAGCATCTCCTGGTAGTCCCTTCATCCCCTCCCCCCCCCGGAAGATGTGGTGATGAAGAAGCACTGACCTCGTTGCCACGGGGGCCGTCATCTCCCCTGTAGCCTTTGGGTCCTGGGGGTCCAGGTTCACCCTAGGGAAACACGAAGAGTTCATTCAGCAGGGCTTTTCTCTTGGTGCTGCTCCTGCACTGAAGCAGCTGGTCCCTTCATTTCATAATGTGTGCCCGCCTTGTGCCTTGCACCCACCAGTGAGTCACCTCCAACTCAGCCAGCCCAAGGAAGGACCCACTGACAGGGGTTAATGCTAGGGGGGAGATGCTTCAGGAGCTGTGCCTGGCTCTCCCTGTGCCCTCCTGCCTCCCCATGCTTCCTTATGCCATTTTCTCTGCAAAACCCTGTCAAAAGCAGATCTCTGCTGAGCACGAACCGAACCAAGAAGCTTTCTGGGGCAAGGTGTGACACTGCAGGTCTGGGCTGAACATCATATGCTTTCAGTAGTGGCTGAGGCTCCCAAAGCTATCCCTCTCCTCCACAGGTTGCCCCAGTAACAGATGACCTGGTGAGAAGAAGACTGGGGAGGAAGGGCTGGTGCTTTCCAGCATCAAAGCACGGCTGGGTTGCACAGTGGCTGTGACAGAGGTGCCCCTGGGGCAGAGGTCAGTCCTTGGTGCAAGCACATCATCCTGAAGGTGACACAAGCCTCCCCATGTCTGGAGGCTCAGACATGTCTGGGGCACAGCCAAGCTGGCAGAGGCCCTTTTCTGGCTCCAGGGAGTTTCCATCCTCAGGAGGCTGCAGAGCTCTGGCAGCTGGTGCTGGAAGGGACCAAAGCTGTCACTATACCACATCCCATCTGGGCAGTGGGCACTTGCTCCATCAGCTGCAGGGCTGGCCAGAGACAGCAAGAGACAAGAGGAGGCAGGAGGAGGGTTCTTTTCTCCAAGAGCTCCACAGTTGTCCAAGGGAGCTCCTCCATCTTCTGCTCGGTGCTGACAGCCCTCTGTGGGGTTTGCTTTCTGGGAGGTTGGTAATGATGGTGGACATTTACTGGGTAGGGATACTCTTGCCCATTGGTCCAAATGTTCAAATGAGGCAGCATTTCACATGGAGCTGGGTTCGCAGTTGGCCCCCCAGGCAATGGAGAGCACAGAGGCAGGCAGAGAGCTGGTGCCAAACATCCACATACGCCGTACACGCCCTTCTTCCAAGGAAAGGTGCAGAAGACTTAATATTGCACAGAGCAGAGTACTGAACTGCTCTAAGGCATGTGACCTTATTTCTGCCCAAAAGCCCAGAAGAGAGAAATCTTGGAAGGAGGGACAGGAACTTGTGATCCCTCACACCAGCCAAGGCTGGAGCCGCTGCACCCTTGGCTCGCACTGGCCATACATGTCCTCACTGTAGCAGCACACAGCACAAATCTCTCATGGCCCTGGAGGAGTTCATGATGATGCAGGATTTTGGGTGAGGAAATCTTTGTCCACTACTTTTCTGGGTGCGACAAGAACCACAGGAGGGATGGGCACCATGGCCAGGAAGAGAGAAAGGCCACCAAACCTGTCCATGAGGATCAGGGAAAGAGTATGCTGGCCTTTAGCTTCCCTTGGATAGAAACAGGATGAAAGGGAGTCACAGGTTAGCGGGAGCCCTTCCCCTTGCCAAGAGAAATACACTCCAAGATCCAGAGCTTGCAGATAACGCGGCTTGAAAAATATTCGTGTTTGCCAAAGTCCTACTCTTACCCAAGCCCAATTATGCATTTATTTTTAATTTGGAAAAAAAAAAAAAGCATTCTTCCTCAGCTTATGGAAAAATCATCCTCACTTTGCAACTACTTTTCAAATCTCCCTGGAGTGGTGGAGGCACTGAGGCGGCCACTGGTCTGGGAAGGCATTTGAGCTGCTTTTGTAATGCTTCTCTCTCTCTGACAGGGGTTTGACTCAAGTTCAGTGGTGGAGAGGGAAAACTGGTGTCCCACAGGCTCAGAGACAGCAGGGAGATGGTTCTTTCTCCTCTTTCTCCCCAACAGTGAAGGCTATCTGGAAGAAGGATCTATCCCTGCCTGGCTCCCCACCATGCTTGCACCAACTTTCTGTCTTCTGCATGGTCTTTTTCCTGCCTTGAACCTGGAATGAGCCTTCTACCACATGGAGAGCAGCTCCAGCTTTAGCCTCCTTTGCCAGCGTTATCTGCAGCGTAGATCCAATACACACACATCCAAAGAGCTGCCTTTCCAGCAGGGCCACCCCTCAAAATGACACCTCAGCAATGCCCAGCAAGCTGGATGCTGCCAGATGCTCTTTGGTTGTGGCAGGAGCTCAGCTCCGCTACAGGATCTGGACAATAGGACATTTGAACAATATCAGGACAGTAGGAGCTGGACAATCCTCCTGTGTGGATTTGGTGCTCCTCACTAGCATGAGATAGGCTCAAGGGAAGCCCAACTCCAGGCAAGCACAACCCTGGCACAAGCACAGCGTCTCCCCAGGCTGTGGCATGGAGCAGGTCTGCTGTGGGGGTCACCCATGCTGGGGATAATGTGAATGCAACACCCACCCCTTCATGCCTGTCCTGTACTCCAGATCTCCTCCAAGGGCTCTTCAACACTTAGCTGACCATAAAGGAGTTCAAAAGCTGTCTCATTTTTGTCTGCACGCTGGTCTCCATGCTTCACATCCAGTAGAAGTCCTGCTCCACCAGTGTGGGAATGTTATCTCAATACATCTCTGTGTCTTTGGATCCATCAGAACTCTGATGGTATGGGTAGAAGGGGAGTTGTCGCACAGAGCCCCTCCAAGGGTGATGTCAAAGCATGCTTGCTCAGGTGCAAAGATCCTGTGAGCCATTACAACCTGTGCTATTGACATGGAGGATTGACCCAGCAATACCTCCAGACCCAAAGTTATCACCCAGGTACACCTTTGGGAAGCAAAAGCCTTTAACTGTGCAGGGGACAGAAGCCTTCCTCAGGCTGGAGGTAGCCAACTCTGCTCTCCAGAAAGCCCATGAAGTCTGAGATCTGTTCCTTGAGGACAAGCAGTCCCCAGAGCAGGAGGGCCACATCTTGCAGCAAGCAGGCTTGAGGAATGCTGGCTTTGGTTGTCTCTGATGTCAAGGGTGTCAGGGACACCGCTGGGGCCACATCAGGATATCCTCACCAACACAAGATGTGTCATTCACTCCCTTGACTGAGGTGAGCAGCTTCTGGCCCCAGGCCTGAACATTTTGTGCGGTGCTGCAGCTTGCACTTGCCAGTTTCCAATTCTGTCATATGTGTTGACATCTGTTTCCATGGAATTGGGAAATGCTGTGGAGGTTGCTCTGCCCACAGCACAGCAACCAAGTCTCCATTTTTTCAGCCCTGTTCATATCCTGGGTTCTTGTAGAAATTCCTGCCCCTCTTCAACAGCTTTGCTTCCTGGTCTGGAAGATGCTGAGAAGTCACCCCAAGATGCTGTGGCATTAGTTAAACACCCTACCCCACTCCCCACTGTCCAAACCACTTCCATCTGGGAGCCAGAAGGTTAGTACAAGCTCTTACCTGGTCACCAGGTGGTCCGAGGGGTCCTTCTCGCCCTTGGTCACCAGGTGGTCCAGGCTCTCCCTGAAAACACAGAGAGAGGGCATAAGAAACTAAAAGAGGGACAGATGTAGGGTACAAAGGGACCTGTGTGCAATGGGGAGCAGCACCAATAGCTGGATGGAATTACAGCCATCCAAACAGAGAGGGTTTTGAGACAGATTCAGGAGCTGAGTAGGAAACTATCAGAGAGATGTGTGGAGATAAAGACAGGCTAGTGCGGCCACCTTGAACCCAAGAAGATAGCCCTAAGAGGAAGACCTTCTAAAGCTTTCCTCTAGGTGACATGTTTCAGCCCATTTTGTGCCAGAAAAGTAAATGTTTGGAGAGATTCACCTTCCAAGCCTTCTGCAGATACACAGACCTGGCCCTGGACTCAAACCAGCCACACTCTGCAACCACGGCTGCTCCTCTAGAGCAGCTCCTGCCCTAGGCAATCTGCATGGAGAGGAGCCTCCAGGATAGTAGCATCCTTCCTCCACCCCCTCTTCCTCCATCCTGCCATACCTGGGGAGCCAAGGTGATTCCTAAGGGAACGAGCCAGCAGATAAAGAGGGACACCCTCACCTCTCATTACCAATGTTCTCCCCTCTCCTTTGCTAACACTTAGCACCCTGAGCCAGGCTAGGGCTACTCGCAGAAAACTGACAGCCCAGGAGAGCCCAGAAAACCTGACTTTCAGTGTTTTTGCACCTCACCCGTTCCAACAGAAGGAAATACCACAGTACTGGGCTCAGTTTCACTTTCACTCAACAGCCTTCCACTGGCCCAGCAGAGCTGCATCCCAAAAGGTCAGTGTGTCTGTCAGACCCAGGCTGACTCTGTGGCACCTTCCTCATCCAGACCCATGGCCAGGAATGAGCAAGTCAGGGAGGCAGAAGAGAGTGAACTTTGAGGGAAGCAGTTGAAAGCTTGGTGACCTAAAGCTGTTGTTTGCAACCTAGAAGCTTCCAGATGGATAAGGCAAACAGCAAATACAAAACACAACTTCCAAAAGGCCCCAAGACGTTTCTGGCGAGGTTACACAGCCTCGTGCTTGGACTAAAACTTGGAAGGAAGCAGCCCATCATCTGCTGAACAATTTAACTCCAGGACACTGGCGTGCCTTCATGTCCTGCGCACATCTGCCCCGCACACCCCGTGTGGCAGCACTGATGCTCCCCAAGCAGTAAACAGGAAGGAGGAGGCTGCCAGAAGCCCCCTGACAGAGCTGCTCCCTCCCCAAGGCAAACTCTGCCCCCCCTCAAAGCTGGTGGTGGGTCCTCACTGCCCTCACTGCAGGGACAGGGAATGAGTGGTGCGATGGTGATTGCCCAGCAGTGGCAATACCGGATGCTGCTGCGGGGTGCCCTGGGCCCCACCACCCCCACTCTGCACAGCAGCACCCCTCGTCCCTCCCTGTGGCGTGTGGCATGTCTGTCGCTTGCCACATGTTTATCCTGGCCCGCTGATGGCTCTTGCCTGTCTCTCCCACACTCACCCTCGCTGACTCACTCCTGGCAGGCAGGAAAAATACTTTCCCAGTGACTCCCACCCAAAAGGGGAGGGAAAAGCGTTCCCCCGCTCCCGTTCCATCCGCACCCACTCACTCTGCCCTGCTGCTGATGGTACCTGTGCCCTCCTTCCCAGCCCCTGAGCACCTGGAGGAGGACACCTTGTCTCTTTTCTCTCCATCAGCTGGTTTTCCAGCTGTGAGGAAGGAACTGGCCACTGTTCACCTGCTCTTGGCTTGCTGGGCAAACTCTTCCCTGGATTTTGGCTATTTGGTGATTAGCTGTTAGTGTAAAGGGGTAATTGCTGGGGGACAAAGACAGGTCCCTCCCGAACTGGCAGGAAAGGCACTGAGCTTGCCTGCTGGCCCACAGGCTGGTGGAGTTAGCCCCTGGGCACCTATTTCCAGTGCCTGGCTTCCAAGCGTCCCCCCGTTTGCAAGCAGATTCTGAAAGCTGCCCTGTGGGTGCAGTTACCGGCTCTCCTCTCAGCCCGCGGTCACCCGGCGAGCCTGGTGCTCCTCTTTCTCCATTGCTGCCCTGCAAAGAGACGGTGGGATCACAGAATCAGGATCTGCTCCCAGCAGGAGCAAAGCCCTCCCTCATTGCCCACCTCTGAGTGGGCTCAGCCCCAGCCCCCCTCCTCCTCTTCTAGAGGGTACCAGCCCCTGCCCATGCCCTGGTGGGGTGCCTGGCAGAGGTGCCCTCGCTTACCCGTTCTCCTGGAGGACCATCTGGACCTGGAGCACCCTGTGGAGAAACAAGAGGGGTGGTCAGGCAGTGGGGATGGCCAGCAATCACGCACAGGGGCATCACAGGCAGAGGACTCACCTCATCACCAGTCTCTCCTACTGGTCCAGGCTCACCTTGGTTCCCTCTAGCGCCCTGCATGAGCAAGGCACAGAGGTGCAAGTGAGAAGTTAAGTTTTGGATCAAAACCCTTCATGTTTGCAGAGCTTTGGGCAAGCTCTGCTTCAAAGCCCAGGCTGAAGCAGGGGAACTCTCCCTCCCACAGAGGGCAGGGGATGTTCACACACGGGCACTTCTTCACCCACCTTCTCTCCAGGGCTGCCGGGAATCCCCTGTCGGCCAGGTTTTCCGTCATTCCCAGGCTCCCCCTTCATAAGGACACAAGGTACCATCAAGACTGCATTCAGCACCCAGTGGTGGATCTTGGCTCCCAGAGCACAGGGATTATCAGGAGCCCCGGTGCACCCCGAGCCTCTTTCAGGGCTGTGGTCTCTCCCCATCCTCAGCAGGTCTCACCCTACTCCACTCCTAGTGAAAACCAACTTTTTCACAGCAGCCCCCCAATATCTCAGGGATGCTCATTCCAGGCTTGTGGGCACCCACTAACCTTGGGCACACTGGGGGTTAAGGAGGGCATCCTCTAGAGTAGAGGCCAGGTTGGATGGGGCATGGAGCAACCTGGTCTAGTGGGAGGTGTCCCTGCCCATGGCAGGGGGTAGAACGAGGTGGGCTTTAAGGTCCCTTCCCACCCAAACCACTGATTCTGTGACAGGCTTGCCCCAAGTAGTGCAACGAATTGCCACCTCTCCGTCTTGCAGAAGAGGGGTGTCAGCACCCTTCCTGCACGAGGCTGGGAAGTGCAACTCACCTTTCCTCCCTTGGGTCCATAAGCACCAGGATCTCCCTTCGGTCCAGGTGGGCCTTGAGCTCCCTGTTGAAGTTAAAGGCAGCATCACTGAAACCCAAGCGGGTAACACTATCTGTAGGAAACTGGGCACGGACTGAGCATCCCAGCACACAACTCCCTACTGGGATGGACAGGAGGGACGTGACACCATGGAGCCACACAAGCAACACTGAGCCCACATTGCTGAAACACTTTTGAAGCTCAGAGGAAAAGGGCAGAAAAGGTGGCTGTTGGCCTTCTGTGGCTGGACCACAGTGACACTGGTGCCACCATGAATGTGTCATCCTGGGAGCATGGAAAAAGCAGCAAAACTGTAGAAATACAATGTCAGAATAATGTTTTCCAGAGCAGCATCCCAGGCAGCCCCATGCAATGGGGGACAGTTTCCAGGCAAGGACAAGGCAGACTGCCCTGGGGACATCCCCAGGGTGTCATGTGTGGTATCCCAGCATTCCATGTGCCAAGAAACTCCCTCCCACAGCTCCCTGTCTTGAGGGGCTCCCCATTTCCACACACCATCATGGAAGACCTGCTCATTTGCATGCAAGGGGCACCCAAAGGGTACGTACATCGAATCCAGGTGAGCCTTTGCATCCAGGTAATCCAGGGTATCCAGCTTCACCCTGTCAGGCAGACACAGCAGGGGTTTCCAATGAGTGGCACCCATAGGAAGACCCCATTCATCATTCCAGACCCCTGGAAAGGACATCCCAGCCCTGTCTCTGGCTGGCAGCTGGATGGCTCTGCAGGAAGGGAGCTCTGCTGCCCCACCAGCTTCATTCTTGGATCCCACAATGGTTTTGAAGGGACAAAAGCCAGGGTCCTCAGGCCTAGCAAAGTGCCCCGGAGCAGAGATTTACCTTCATGCCATCGATGCCATCGATTCCACGCCTGCCTTTCTCACCCTGAAACAGAAAATAAGGATCATGAAGAGATTCCCAAAGATGCTTCTCCTTCCAGGCATCAACCAGAGAGAATAAATGGTGCAAAAGCAGAGGCTGACCTTGGCTCCTTTGGCTCCTCTTGAGCCCTGCAAAGGGAAGAAGAGAGATGTCAGACCCCCATGCTGAGCAGATTCATCCCCCCACCACGCTGCAGTCCCCACACCAGCTCAGTCCCAGGATGCAGGCATTCACCATGCCTCTGCATACCACTAGATCCCACTGGATCCCTGCTCCTGGCTCAGGCAGTGCTTGCAGGAGGCATGGAATCGTGGGCACATACCAGACCCCAACACAATCCAGTTGCAGAGGTAGCCCAGGATAACCAAGCTGGGGGACACAGCTGTCCCAAACATCCTTGCTGTCCTCACCTTTTCTCCTCGGCTTCCTTTGTCACCCTAGAGAGGAAAGGAGAGAGGGAAATGGGAGAATGAGAATACTTGCAGCTCAAAGCCCGTGGCCCACAGAGGAACCATGGCTGTGACCCTGCAGCCCCACATACCTTCATTCCTTGGTAGCCAACAGGTCCCATGTCCCCTGGCTTGCCCTAGGGGACACAAACATAGTGTTACACCACCATGGGATAGTGTCCCCCCAGACTCTTGATGTGGGGCTCATGCCCAGCCACCATTGTCCCACAGGAGGCTCTCCCATAACTCTTGCTCCTCGTTTTCCTGGTCTGGGAGCATGGGATCATTGTGGAGGGCCAAGGGGACCTACCTTCACCTCCACCATCTCCAGCCCTTCCTAGGGGTGAGGAAAACTGAGCACTTGGGGACACATCATTTGGGATGAAAGGGAAGGGCAAAAAACCCTTGGGAAGGAAAAATGCACAGCACAGGGTTTCCAAGCTGGGGATGCACAAGGTGGAGAACTGCACTCTCACATGTGCGGGAGAAATGTGCCTCCCAAAAATAAAGTGTGCCCGGTAAAGAAAAAAAAAAGGGAGGAGGAGGGAAATAGTACCCTCATGCTTTTAGGCTGTTATTTACCAAAGGTTTCCCTGTAACACTGCTGTGCTTGTTGTGTCAGAGGATGCAGGAGGGAGCCCAGAGTCCAGCCCTGGGCTGGCATACATGAGTCAGAGACGTGTCCTCCAGGAGGGACGGCTATTTTGGGTGAGGAACAAGGAAGCCTTGTAGCAAGAGGAGGAGCCACCCCACTGCACACCATGACTACCCCATGGAAACAGGGTGATGCTGGTGAGGATGTGCCTGAGAGGTCTGGCCACAAGCAACCAAAAAATAGCCCCTGTGCAGAGTCACCAGGGCTGGTCCTTCACTTACTGGGCTTCCAGCTTCTCCTTTCTGGCCAGGAAGACCTGGCTTGCCTCTTTCTCCCTGCAATACAGGACAGAAATACAGTTAGCTCATCACCCCCAGGAATAGAACAACGACCTGTTGAAAGGAGAGCAGGGAGGATGGAAGCAGCAATGCTCCAAGGATATGGGGACCAGATGATGCTGGCCACATGGGAAGACAGTGTAGGTCCTCATCTACTTCTCTGCGGGGCAGTGGTGGGATGCTGAGGATCCATGCCCCAAAGGTGATCTTAGAGGTCTTTTCCAATCTTAATGACTCTTTGATAATGATTCTAAGTCTCTGAGCATCCCCAGTAAGCCCATCCCACTGCCCAGGTCCCACAGCACAGCCACAACCAGTCCCTCACCTCATGGCCTGGGTCACCAGGTGGTCCAGGGGGCCCTTGAGGAGGCTGCAGGAGAGAGGTATGGGTTAGACCAGCCACAGAGGCACAGCCTGGGACCACAGGGATGCGAGGGAAGGGAACAGGGGTCTCAGAAGTCTGACTCACCTGGCACTCAAAGGAGCAGCACTGCCCAGAGGGAAGGAGAAAACAGCATTAGAGCAGTGGGAAGCAGCAGGGTCAGACTGCAGCCTGTTCGAGGGGGCTCCCCTGGCTGGCAGGAGTTGCCTCAGGGCAGGGTTGTGCCACTGAGCTCCCCTTGGCCGTGGGTGACCCACGGGGGACAGGCTCAGGCGCAGGGGGACACTCACCGATTGCTCTGTGTTAAGTTTCTGCAAGACAGGAAAGCAAAGAGAGGGTGTTTGAGAGAGACAGGTGAGCCTGGGCAGGGGATGGGTGTGGGGAGGAGGTGGGCAGTGCTCACAATCATGTTGATGATGGTGTTGATGGTTTCCTCCACATCAAGCTCCCGGGTTGGCTTCAGGCTGGTGGCGGTGAAGTTGCGGCGGTAGGCGTGGTCTGTGGCGATGATGTTGAGCCGCTGGTCCTAAGGTCGGGGTGGGGAGGGAAGAATGAGACCCGTGGGCACCTGTGCAGGGTCAGTCCCCAGAGATCATCCTGGGAACCCTCACTCTCCCTTCGGAGTGCCCCTCAGAGCCTCCTTTGCCCCACTAGGGGTCTCATGGTCCCGCTTGGGACCCCTGCAGGGAGCATCCCTGCCATGTGGTCCCTACCAGGTGATTGGGAGAGATGGCAACAGAGAACACTTTGATCCCCAAATGTTTGGCTTCATTGGCAGCATCATCCAGGCCTCCACAGGGCTCCTTGTAACCTTCCAAGGGATGTCCATCAGTCACCACAATCAGGTATTTATTCTCCTTGTGATGGGAACCACTGAAAGGGTTTAAATGTGGGATTTAACATTGCAAGGATTTCGCTGGGGAGGAGTGGTTTGGGCACCTCAGGGCACTCACCCCAGGCAGCGCCCCATCCTGGGGTGCAAGCCAGAACACTGCCACCCCTCTGCCCACTCCATGCCCAGGTGACCTCTTTTCCCAACCTGAGGACAGCTCTACACAATGCACAGGCATGTCCTAACCCAGAAGCTCCCAGCTTGCACTCTCCACAGCCATGCCAGCAGCACGCCCCTCTCTGCCCCACTGCCTCACCCGATGAGCAGCTCCTCGATGCCCCGCTTTATGGCGCAGTCGGTGTAGGTGCCCTTCCCGATGTAGTTCACAGCCGAGACGCGGTTCTTCAGCTCGCTCTGGCCGCTGGGCATCGGGGTGAGGCTCTTGATGAGCACGACCTCATCGCTGTAGTGCAGAGCCCCCGCGTTCCACACCAGGTTGCGGTCGCAGCGGTAGTACCTGTGCGGACACACCAGGACACGTGTTCCAGCACCTTCGTCCAGATCCACCGACACCTCTACTTCACTTGCACCACCGTGGAACATGAAAGTGCTCTGCGAAACAGGGATTTGCCAGGGCTCCCTGCTTTCCTGCAAGGCAGGGACATGCCTGCCATGCAAAGCACAGCAAGGGACCAGGGGAGCTTGTCCAGCGGGTGGAAGGGCAAAGTGAGGCACCTGGTGGGCATCTGCAAGGATCAAACAGCTTGGCAGAGAGGCTTCTGGAAGAGGTGCCAGGCTGCAGTGGTTGCAGCTGAGCAGGAGATGCTGAGCCAGACAGCCAGGTGTGTGAGTGCAAGGCAGGTAACCACTGAAACATCCCACACAGAGGTTTTCCACTGCTAGATGTGTTCAAACCAGAGAGGGATGCCTCCCTCTGAAGGATGATGTGATTCAGAGAAGGATGAGTGTATGTGTTGAAGCCCTGCCCTGTGCACTAACACATCCAACACCTGTGACTCCCTGGGACAGAGGCACCACCTGTGCTTTGGTCACTGCCCCAGAAATCAATCCTAAAGGGATGTGATTTTTTTTTTCAGGATGTGGGGACCGATCCCAAAGGGGTGGTGCTGCACATCTCCCTTACTTCCTCAAGCTCATCTTCTCTCTGCCCAGCAGGACACCTTTCCCAATGCCAACTGAACCTTGTCCATTGCTGTTCCCTCCATCCCACTGCTGCCAGTTGCCTCTGGACTGAGACCAGAGCCTTGCTTAGGGGAGAGTGATGCTGCATTGAGGGAGGCCTGGCAGGTTGTTCCCAAGCACAGGGCTCCTGGTCACTCAAAGCCTTGTGATGTAGCTCTCCTGCCTGGGAAATGGGCAGATGAGCTGATGACCTGATAATCCTTTCCTACCCATCCTGAGATGGGGCACTGCCCCTCCAGGTGGTGCAGCACTGGAACATCCCCATGGTGCCCCTCTGGGCACCAGCACACATCTCCTGCTGTCCCAAGGAGCTCAGGAAGACCCATGTGCCCCCAGGACTTGTGGTGCTCCTGTGCATCCCTGGATCTCCTGCCAGCAGGCAAGCCCAGCATCATCCCCTCTGGGATCTGAGAGCTTTGTTGCTCTTAGGCATCTCTGCATGACCTCCCCTTGGGAAAGCCATAGTCAGACAAGGCTTGGTGGCTGCAGAGGTAGGTGAGGAGGTGGCAGATAAAGGGCTGGGCAATGGGGTGGATAAAGGGCACCCAAAGCTGGGTGTTGTGGGGTACACCAGTTGCAAAGGAGGATTTGCTCTGTGGGGTGCTCTTGACTGCTGGGTTTAAACACCAGAGGTGCTCTGCTGCCACCCAAGCACCCGGGTTGTTCTGGGCCTGAGCACAGGCATCAGCATTACTTTGGCACTGCAGAATAACCACATAGCCAGCCAGAGGTGGTGGGGTTGGGATGCCATGTCTGCCACTCCAGGAATTCCTTTCTTTCCTGAGGCTGGGTGCAGGCAGCCCTGCTCAAGCCACACTGCTGCCCTCAGCACAGAGAGCAAAAAGAGGGCAGCTGAGGACTGGGAGAGGGAGGAGAGGCTCCCATCTCCCTCCCCAGCATTTCTGCTTTCCTCCTCTCCCTCTGTGGAAAGACATGCAGGGTGGTCTCAGCATCCCAGTCAGCTCCATTCCTAAAGCAGCCCAGATAAACCCCTGGGAGATGTACCTATTGGTCAGCTTATCAATGAACCGGTTGGTGAAATCTTTCACTTGGGTAACCAGGTCCCCAAAGGGCTTCACCCTCAGGGCGACGCTCTCCGAGGTGTCCAGGACAAAGAACAGGTCCACAGGGCAGTCTGGAAAGAAGTGGAGAGGCAGGAATTGGCCAGCAGTCCTGCTGCATCGCCTCCCCATCCCAGGCTTCCTGTGCTGCCCACAAAGTTTTCCTCCAAGCAGCCTCCCAGAATCAGGACTTAGGGGAAAGCTTTGACATCCTAACTCCCTTGGCATCGAGGGTAAGCAAGATTACATTTTCAGAAAACATCGGTTGGTGGCATTTAACACTTTCCTATACTGTCTTCCACATTTCCATTCAAGGGATATCTTTGCAAGTCCTATACTACTTATTATAAAAAACAACATGCAGCTGCAAGAACCACTTAAAAAAATTAAACCAAGACATTTTAGCAATTCATGCTATGAGAAACCACCAATTTTCTGACACATCCTGTCAAAAATATAATTTTAGGAAAGAGCAATAACAAACCATTCCTTAACAGCCAGGGTCAAACCCTAAATAGTTCAGAAAGCTGAACTGGTATCAGCTGTTATCCCCCTTTCCTGCATCCCAGTGCTACTGGTAAATCCTGACCAGACAGAGCCAAGGAAAGAGAGCCAAAAACCATGAAAAGTGGGTACATCCTGCAGATCCTCTCTAATCCTACGCTGCTCTCCTCAGCAAGCCAAAACGTCCCCACAGAGCTGCAGTGTGTTCAGCAGTGGAGGCATCCACCCGGGAGGGGAACAGCAGTCAGGCTTCTCTGCTGGTCCCATGAAGAAAAACCACCCTGGAAAGCATCCCAGGCTTACCTTCTGCACTTGAGACTCGTGTGGAGATTGCGCTCACACGCTGCTGAGCGTATGACCCCCCCCCCAGGAAGCCGGCCGGGAGCAGCAAAGTGAGTAGAAAGTCTCGCAGCCTCATGTTGCTTCGTTCAGATTACCATCGAGCTGCATCCAAGAAAAAAGCAGGGAAGGAGAACCCAGCAGCTGAGAGAGCCCACAGCCCGGAGGCGGGAGTCGCTGAAGATATTTTTTTTACCGCTTTCCCCTTGGTTTCCGTGGGAGGAAGAGCAGGCAGGAGGGTAAGGGTGAGGAGGAGACTTCTCCAGCCCGAGGACGGAGGGAGGGATCAGGGGCTGTCAGCTGTGAGTCAGAACCTAATGAAGCATTTCTCCTTACCCTTTTTATGGATGTCGCTGTACCTGCGATAGCAGCCTGGCCACCAGTGCCTAGGACCTCTACAACCCTCACACAGGGAGCCCCGGTGCAGCCAGTGCCCAGAGTCAGCATCCTGCCCGGGTTCAGCCTGCTCGCTGGGGCGGGGGGGCTTGGGGCACCTGCCAGCAGCTTCCTCTCAGCTCCTGGGCCAAGAAAGCTGGGACAGGGGGACAGGCATTCCCAACGCATCCCAAACTGCATGAGAGCTGGTCTGTGTTGTCCCAGGGAGTCCCCACCACATGGCAGAGCTGGAGCTGCCCCGAGGCCACACAGGGATTTGGGGCACTGTGGAGGTACCATATTTTTGGAGAAGCACTTTCTTCCCTGAGTTTCAGGGTTTTCTGCTCAACCCAGTCAGGAACATGAGAGGCAAGCTGAGAAGAAACCCACAGGTACACCCTGGGTTGGGAACAACCCTTCTCCCCAGGCCCATACTCAGGGCAGAGGGTGGGGACAGGCTCAAAGCTGTCAAGCCTAGGAGGTAGAAGTAGGAGCACAAGTCCTTAGGGAAACCCATAAATGAGCATTTTCCCATTCTGTAGGATGGCAGGAGAGCCTGAGGACCTGTAGTAGTGTGGACCCCCACAGCAAGGAGTCCCAAGGTGGTATTGACCATTTGCTCTTCATGGCCAGAACCAGAGACAACCCCTCATCACAGTGGGAGCATTAATTGCTAGGGGAGGGTAGAGGTGAAATACCTGAGGGTTGACCTTGCTTTCAAGCTTTTCACAGCTGCAGCTGTAACCTACTCCCAAAAGCACAGGAGGGGGACCAAAAGCTGTCATTAAATAAAAAGTTGAGGGGTGCTGCCGGATTGTTCTAAACGGCAAAGAGTTGACAGCACAAACCCAGTCAGTACAAATGGCTTGCACCCAAGCTGGTAGCATGAAGGCAGCAGGAGACCTGCCATGCAGGGCTGGCTGCCACCTCTGTCATCCTAGCTGTCACGCACAACTACTCTGACAGCACCTTTGTGTGGATGAGCAGGAGGAAACATCGCAGGCTTGGCCATCAGATGTGTCTCAAGTTGAGACAATGCAAAAGAACCCAGTAGCCCCACGGGTTGCAAGTTACAATAGAGGAGAATCTTGTCCACACTATTGAGGCAGATGCATCAAATAATGACTCTTTGGATAAACAACATCCAAAACCAGTGAAAATAACCTGCAGACTGTGCTGAACTGAAACCTTGTGAACCCAAAAAACAGGCGCCGTTTTTCACTCCAACACAAATTTAGGTGCATCTGTGGAAGCTGATATTAAAGCAAAGAGAAGAAAACGGTGGTCTCAGGATGACTCCTGATCACCCCTGCAACCTGTCCCCACAGCTTCTCTAGGACTTTGGAGAGTCTCAGGGTGTCACATGCTCTGGCTGAGGGGCAGCCAGAAAAACAGGGCAGCTCCCCGGAGCTGGCTGGGCAGCATTGCTGAGGGTGGGAAGAGACATCCTGGCCACAGAACAGCAAGGGGTTGGTTGTGCTGAGGAAAGCATTCCTCCCCCAGCTAAAAAGCTTTAGTATGAGTGTGAACCTGGCTGGTGTAATGAACCACCCAGGCACTGAGGTGTGTGGGCTTTGCTGAACTGCACAGGTGGCACCAAGAGGTGAGCACACTACAAGGCAAATTTTCAAGACCTCTCAAACCTACTGAAGATACTATCCAAGAGAACAAGCATGCCCAGGGACAAGTCCAGCTACATGATGCTTAATGGGGGATCAGATGCTAATTTGGCTCTCCAGCACAGCTCCTCAGGCTCCCATGAGGGAGCTCACTCGGGGTTTTGAAAACCAGCCAGCAGCTCCCAGAAAGGGGGGAGCTGGGAAGGGACCTGTATTCGTGCATCAGCTTAGCAGAGTCATCCTGTGAACCTGCACACCAGAGGCATTTCCTCTTAAGCTTTCTCTCTTCCTCTTTCCCCTTCCCTCACAGGGAATTATCCCAACTAGCAGAAGAGCCGATCTCCCTCTCCCTACAGGAAGAGAAAAGTACATCCTGCTCAGGAACAGCTCCGCGGAGCTGGAGCAAGCTGGAGGCCAGTTGGCTGCGTCAGCAAAGACTTAATGATAATGGTATGGCCTGTGTAAGGCGCCTGCCGACCGTACATGGCTCCCCACAGCTGCAGCCTCTCAGATCCTGTGTGCCCTGGGGAGCTCCTCCCACCTCACTGGGGACCCCAGTCTCTGCCCAGAGCCCACACACCAAACCCCAGGGGCTGTTATCAGGCATAATGTCCCAGGAGCGTGCTTCATGTGCTTACAACTAGGGAAATTTCGGTGCTCTGAATGGACAGCGGGATTGGAGCCGTATCCAGCTCCAAAAGCGTTTTAAATCCTTGCCTTTTCCAGGTCTGCAGTGCTAAACCATGGCCAACAGCCAGCAGCATCCCCAGGACATTGAATAGCCATTTTCTTGGAAAAGTGTGGGCTAATTTTGCAGTAAAAAAAAATTTCCCAAGTCACTGGGACTAGCAGCATGCCATCGTGTCTTGAAATCCAAGGACACATGCCTGTGAAGGACGTTCCCTCTCCCTTCCTCTTCAGAGGAGGCCAGGGAAACTGAGTCCTATGGCTCTGCCCCTCCCAGGAGCAGGGGACCTCCTCCATCTATCAGCCTCCCTCCCAAGTGCCATGCAGATGGGCAAGGAGAGCTCCCTCCATGGTGCCAATGTGCCCCAGGGAATGGCTGTTCTCCTTCCCAAGTCCCAGCCCACAGCACTGCAATAAACTTTTAGTCCAATTCCAGACAAAACTGGGTGCAGAAAAAAGAACGTACACTTGGGACAGAACTTTTGCTTTTCTCCTCCCAGAGACTGAGAAAAGAATGAGTTTGCTCTGTTTTTCTGATATTAACTCTTTCATGAAACCTTTCCTTCCCTTTAGTCAAGTCTACTTGGAAATGGAAAGCTATGCTTCCACAGAAAATATGGAAAGGAACTAAAATGAATTCCCATGGTAAAAGTCAGCATTGAACCTGGCAGCGTGCTCATAACCAAAGGGTGCTTTGGAAGGCAGGATCAAATGTCAGGTTTCCAGCTCCATCTTCTGCAGCTGGGACTACTTTGCCCTCTCACACGGTGCTGGGAAATGCCACAATTAAGGAGCACCGAAATTTCCCTAGCTGTAACCACATGAAGCACACTGGTCTCCTGACAACTGCCTGCGACATCTTTGTCACCTTCCCCCCACTCCTGGGGACATGAGTGCCCAGCGATGGAAACGTTTGGAATGATGGATGTTCTCTGGGAGAGGTTTCCATGTGTCTGGTTACCAAGGGCTGCTCCTCCCCAGACTGGCTTTAGGACCCCCAAGGTGTACAGCCCAGCTCCCCCATGGCTCACCCTCCAACCCACTGTCCTCCCCACCTCCATGCTCAGACCTCCACCACAGGGGCAGCCGCGGTATGAGGCCAGCACTGTGCGAACCACAAACCCCACTGGAAAGAATGTGGCTTGTGGTGCTTCTGCATATGATAATTTAGCTTCCCACAGCAGTTCTCTGCAGGAGGAGGCAGCAGAGAAACCCCTCTGACCAGGAAAACATCACCTCTCCCAGCACAAGCGGGTGCTGCCATGCGAGCAGCTCACCATGGGCACAGGGTGTGCCTTGGCAGCACTAGGGGAGGGTCTTGCACTCAACCACTCACCTCCAAAAAACACCCAGTGGAAGAAACAGCCCATCTTCCAAACCCTCTGACATCCCTACTCTAAGTGGCCCCTTTCCTTTGACCCCACAAGAGGCAGCACAGCTTCTCTCATGGTGCTTCTCCAAACTGCTGACCCGGCACAAACTCCCCTGCCCTGCTGTTTGCCAGCTGGGCTTTGCTCTCACCAGTCCGAGTTGGCCTGGGGGGACCCTTCCCTCCCTCCCAGCACCATCTGGGGATACACTCTTCCCTTCCCAAGCCACCTCAGGGGGTCACCGCCACTCCAACGGGTGGTTTCCAGCTGCCATCCATCCAGCACGCATGGGGTGCAGGTGTCCCCCTGCCACCCCACCCTGCAGACCACTTCCATGCTGGCACAGCCAGGACATGGCACAGCTCCACCAGTAAATCCACATCCCCACGCCCAGGCTGGTGTGTGGTGGGTTAATTTTTTCCCCATTACCTCACTAACGTTGGCCTCTGTTCTTATGGAAAAAAACAAACCATCTGGTAATAATATTTCCCTAATAGCTGTCTGGGTCTGTGGGAAAGCTTGGCTCAGCTTCTTAGGAAAGATGAGAGGGTCGAATGAGAGGGGAGGCTGCGGATGCAGCATGGGAGCTGGAGGAGAGGAGATAATGCTTTCGGGATCCTTTTTCTGGGCCACCCCAGGGCTTGCAGGGATCCTCGACTCACAGGGGGACCATGGGATACCAGGATGTCACACAGTCAGGATACCAGGAAGGGCCTCCCCACACTGTCCTGGTGAAAGAGTCTCACCCTCATCCCCTGTTCCACAATAGAGGCTTGAAAGCAGGCAGCACTGCTTTCACTTCTAGGGCTTTCCCCCCCCCCCCCATTTTACACTCAGAAAATAGAAAGAGCCCAAAGAGTGGGTTTTTGGGAGTTGAGAACATCATGGTTCAGGGATAAAACTGGCAAGATCAGCAGCACCTACAGTGTCCTTCTGCTCTTAGAGAAAAGGCAGCACCCCGGGATGTGCCACCCCCAGCCCTGGGGACACTGCTGTTGGGACAGGGGACAGAGGACCCCGTTCTCATGGAGCATGTCCAGGAAAAATGGGTGGAAAAACACGCGCTCAGCTCTCTGTCAGTTGAGCAGGGAAAAATTTCCGTTTCTCTGCAATAAAAGTTGTTGCTTGGGCGATTCCCAGGGAGCAGAGCGTGCTTGCCAGGCTGGGCATATCTTCCTTGGGGAAGGGAGGCATCAGGCACTCGAGGAACAGCCGAGCGGCTG